TTCTCTCTTGGTGTGGCTTTTTAAAATGACTCACTTTATAGATATTTAAAGGGATAATATGGAGGGGATCCACTCAGACTCAGGACATGACCATGACACGATAAAATTTTTACTGTCCATTTATATTTTGAGCAAGCAGCAGCGTGCGTAAAATGAGGTTCTACATGGGTTATACCTGGACACTGTTTGATTTTGGAGTAACAATGCTTCGTAGGTAGAGGGGTTGGGCAGCTTGGCTGCATGATCATGTTCTATCTTTTATTTTTATCTGTTTTTATTTTTAATTAAGTGCTTCATCTTAAGAGGGTTAGAGGACATTTCATCCTCCTTGTGTTTTATATATTTTTTTTCCTTACTATAATTTCTTCTCTTATTATGGAAAAACGAGCTAATAAAGGGTTTGCATGGAGCTCACTTGTCTACAGCTGTACTCTAATTGGTGGGAAAGCTATCTGTTATAAATAAGAGGCCTTATAGCATGTATATTGGTCAGTTAAGGGTGTAAAAAGTCAATTTGGATTCCAGATCATAATACTGTTGTGTGGGTGATGTAATTTCCTATTATATGATGATAGAAATCCTCTCGTTCTGGTTGTTTCTTACCTGCCTCTTACTAATAAAATTATCATGATGCAAACTTTTGTAATTTGATGATCAGTAACACATAACACAAATGTTATATGTCATATTGATACTACAGTCTTGAAAAGGTGTTGAACTGGACTACCACTGGTTTGAGTTTGATGATTTTCGATATCATATTCAGGTAAATCCATCAAATCTTCAATTTATGTTTAAATTTGATACTTGATAGTTTTCGTTAGGTGGAGTTAGTGTTTGACAGTTTTGCATTTAACACCTGACAAAGCAAAAATGATTGTAGGTGACTATAAAGATCCACATATTTTGTTGTTATATCGTTTCCTGCCTTGCTATCCCTCCTCCAGAAACAATTTTCTTGGGTGGACTTCCTTTTGGAGCCATAGAAGCAATAAAAGCTGCATATGGCACGCTTGTACAAATACTTGATCCTCCAAGGGATGGCTTTAACCTCACATTAAAAATAAATCTTTCTAAGCTTCCAACGAATCAAGGTATGCTGATATTTCTTATAACATCATACACTTGCTATGTGCTAATACTTTTTAAGTGAGACCAGAGAGGGGGGGGAGAGAGGGGAATGCTCTAAAGGATTGCTTGCTTCTGTTGATCATATGATCTCAATACACAGATACTGTTATAACAAACTAACTGATAAGTTACGGCTAAGAATATAATAACCCTTTTACACTCTAATATAGACATTGCCATTATTTTAAAAATTTTGTTTTGTTGATCTGTTATGTGGAAGCCTTTTCCTCTTGAGCTATTGGTAGGGGCTTAAAACAAATATGAAGGAAAAGGAAGAATCAATTGAATTAAATAGAGCAAGAATCTCACTCTATTGAACTTAATAGCCAAACAGGAGAATCTGCAAGGGAAACAAGTTTTACTACTCAATCATATCCTGCTGTGATAAACGCAAGGATATTTATAACCAGAAATTACAATTAAACAAATCAATAATGCAGAATATTAACCTAAAAGTCAGGAAATAACTGACTAGCAAATGGGTACCTCACTAACAGAGTTAAGGTCCAATTATTCAGCTACTAACAGCAAAGAAAAATGATAATGAATTAAAATAGTTAAAAATAACAGCAAGAAATTAATTTAAATCGGATAAATCCCTCACAATCTGCATAACAGCATCAGATTCTGTTATCTTCCTCCTCTTTCTGTGTTGATAAGTGGTTATGGGTCTGTTATGCTGACTTGGACCCTTATCAGCTAAAAAATTATTTGTTGTTGCCTGCTGCATGTGCTACTCGTAACAAAGTTGTGTACAGTGAATGAAGAGTAAGCTACACTTCCAAGACACCCCAATTACACATCTCTTCTACCTACTTGAAATCTATATTCAGTTCTTTTTCAGGCAATACAAAGATTTGCTATGCTGACCTCTCTCACTGCAAAAGATAAGCTATAATTACAGTTGTACTGACTGAAATATTTTATATCCATTATTCATATATATATAACAAGTATCACATATATATTGACCATTACAAAAATAATTAATTTTGTAAAGAAGAGGGTCCTAGGCAATAACCCTGATCTATATTGGGCAAGTTCTACTACCCGTTCATTTAAAATCAGTTTTATGATCAAATTGCTATAATTTTATTTTCAATTATTCAGCTGTTAGTGGTGTGTGTTTTCTTTTTTTCTTTTTTGACATTTTGCGATTTGATGATATTGATCTTTTGCAGATCAAAGATATGCTTTTTTGCTGAAAGTTGCATCGGTTAGGGAGGTGGTACTAGGTGCACCACTGAGAGTAATTCTAAAACATCTCGCTACAAGAACTGTTGCTCCCTGACTTGAGTCCACTTGTTGCCTTGTGCATCGCCCAAATGAGTCTTTCTTTCTTGTTCCTCAGGTGTAAATACTAGACACTAGTTTCTATTAATTTGGTTCATTGCTTTTTGGATTGTTAAATTTACTCTCTTGATATTTTTTTTTTGCCTTGCTAACCTAGTAATTCCGTTGCTTGTACTTGTGTACAATTGTAAATTTCTTGGACAGGAGAATATAAGTAATAGTGCTGAAGACAGCAATTTATTTCCAGAAAAGTAGAGAGAGAGAGAGAGAGAGATGAAAACTGAGCCACTTTCTTTTTGAGAAGGATTGCTTATCTTCCATCACTGTAATTATTTTCTCATTTCATTTATTATTCTGTGATAAAAAAAGGAAAAACAAATCAAAGATTGTAAATCCTTCTGCATGTGTCTAATGCTAACAGTGAAATCCCTGTGTAGTCCTCGAAGCTTTGACAATTCAGAACAATTAAATTTTCTTGTGCTAGAGAAAAAAGCCATACCTGAGCCTGTGTTATCTGGTTCAATGACATTCTGTGAAAGAAGCCCCTTTGATGAAATAGTCCAGAGTGTGATCCTTATCACCCTTATTCTTTATAATTCTTCTAACAAACATTAACTGGAGGATGTGTGTTAGAGACTATTATATTGCTAGGTCTAGGTCTACACCTGATAGCTTAAGCTTTAGGGAAACAGATTCCTTGTCATTATACAAGAGAGAAACATCATAAATTTATCCTTGAAAATTCTGTCAGTTTGCTCCAATCATAAGCACCAAGCTGCCGCAGGTATTGCTCAAGTCCATAGTCAAGCCTCCTTAGTATTCCCAGTGCCTCTTAAGTGATCTGGCCAAACTTTGTTTACATTTGCAGGACATATCGTACTTCTCCACAAGTGCTGAAAAAGCCCACACAAGAGGGCTGTGCACCTGAATAGAATAGCCAATTGGTTCTTTCTCCTGACATGGAAATGTTTATGTATAGTCCAGACACTTGTCATACTTTTACTTAACTCTCCACTATCCAGATTCCAGAAGTGAGTTTACTTGTGGAATAAACTCTTCGGTCCAGACACTTGTGGAATGCACTCATCTTGAAGGAAAATTTTCTTCATTGATTGTGTTTTGAGATAGAATTGTGAATATCCTATGTGGATTCCCTTCAGTGGTTGGAACAGGGATTTTTGAGGAAACCGCTTTATTTGAAATTAAAGAGATTGGACAGCTCTATTCAACATTGGTAGGGTACAGTGTTACCAGTTGTTTTGAATCCCAGGGAATGACAATGGTTTGATTTTTAGAGATGCCAATTTAGGGATGGTTTTACATGTTGCACTCCAACCCTAGCCAAAAGGATGGCTCTTATACCTCGTAGGTGACTGTGTTCTGTTTTGAACCAATATTGTAACTTTCTGGTTTAAGAGTATCTTAACCTCTAGCTAGTTATAAATTGTTCTCTTTATTTTTTTTTTTTTTTGCTCTATCAAGAAACAAATAAATACTAGTGTCTGAATCAACTGAGCATATACCGCTGTTGTGATGCCATGCCATTTCTTTTTTGAGATGCCGTTCACACCTGCAAGTATAGTCTGTCCCTTGTAGTTTTTTCTCTGGGAAGGTATCATTCAAGGACCACAGAGAATATTTAATATCAATCAAGGACCAAGAGATTCTGAAATATCACTGTAGGACCAGGGGACTGATTTGAAAATAATTTTACATAGGAAAAGACTATAATACCCCTGCTTTTCTTTTTTCTTTTTAACTTGTCAATTAGCAAATGATTTCTTGTTAAATGTAAATGGGCATTTGTTAATTAATGAATGGCTACTTGTTAAAATAATTTACATTTATCCATTTCCACAACCAAACTCTTTTAGATTCTTGAACTTGTCATTAGCAAATAGCGTTTTGTTAAATACAAATGTGTACTTATTAATTAATGAATGACTACTTGTTGAAACATGATCTACACTTGTCCCTTCTCACAATCAAGCTCTTTGAGATTCTTAAATTTGTCAATCATCAAATGGTTTTCTTGTTAAATGCAAATGAGTATTTGTTAATTAACAACTACTTATTGAAACATTATTTGTGTTTGTCTTTTCCATAATCAAGCTCTTTTTAAATTTTAAACTTGTCAATTGGCGAATGCCTTTTTGTTAAATGTGAATGACTACTTATTAATGAAAAAGAAAAGTAGGGGTGTTATAGTCTTTTCTCATCTAACATGATTTTCAAATTAGTTCCTTGGTCTTGCAATGATATTTCAGAATCTTTTTGGTCATTGTTTGATGTTAAATCTTCTCTGCGGTCCTTAAATGATATTTTTTCCTTTTTCTTTTGGTAAATTAGAAAATGGAGAGGAAAATAATGAAGTGATCTTTAAATGTCAAAATAGAAGAATCTAATTTGTTTTGTATTTCAATTCTAATATCTCTTAAAGCATCTGCTGTCTTTTGGTTTGTTGATGTATAGTGTTGTGTGCTGACTCTATAGATCATTGCATTTAGTTGTTCACTGTTAATTATTTGAGAGGGAAGTAACCCTTCAGTTTAGATGATGAAATATCCCTCTTTTGACAGGCTGATAAGGTGATTGTGGTGTATCCTATATGAGATTCAACGATTCCATAGACATTGTTCTCGCAACTTCCTTCTTGCAGGTAGAGTTTTTCAGCTAATGCTTCATCTCATTAGAGTTGCTGAGCTAAAAGATAATAGGGGAGATTGAGATAGAGAGGAAAACTTAACTTGAATCTTGAAAAGCTTTCTTGTATAGCATTTTACTCCTTTGTTGGGTGGTTCAATGGTTGTAACTCTAAATGTTTATTATAATTTAGGAATTTGTGGAAGCTAGGCGGACAGGTGGGCTATATAATGCCCCTCCTTGTTCATGGTCTCTTTCTCCTCCATCAGAACTGAAAGAAGCACCGGCTCATGCATTATCAGCAAATGCAGGATTTGTGACATTTGGTTCTTATTTTGAAAAATACTTTTGTTTTGTTTATTTACGTCATTCATTTGCTGCTTTCACCACAAATATGTTCGACTCTGCAGTTATCCTTCCTCGTCATGTACAAGGCCAGAAATTGGATCGTACAGTCTGGAATTTATCAACTTTTCACGCATATGTTAGCTATCATGTTAAGGTGTGTTTTCCTTGAACCAAATTAGTTTAATGGCTTATATCTTGTTTCAATCTTTTCACGGTGACAAAAAGCCTGAATTTCTCGTTAATATAGAGGTGAAGTGCATTGTTATTGATGGACAAGAAAGGCTACTCAAAGAGACAAAGTTACAATTAGGGACATTTGAGAATAATATAACAACAACAACAACAATAACAACAAGCCTTGTCCTACTAGATAGGGTCGGCTACATGGATTGTACAATGCCATTGTGTTTTATCATTAAATAAGAAAATAATGAAATAACTAAATTGTTCACCTTATTTACAAGTCCAACACTGCTAGCACTCCCTCAAGCTGGTGAATGGATATCCTTCTTGCCAAGTTTGATGGTTAAGTTTTGAAAGACGACAACACTAGGTAATCCCTTGTTGACTACATTTGCGAGCTGGTCACTGAAAGAAACCTGACAATGTAGGCCATAAAGAGAAAAATAGTACTAGTGAAGACTAAATATAGTAAGAAAAAATACTGGCTGATCATGAAATTCATGACAAATGAAGGCAATATATGGCGAAAGTTGTCTTAGTAGCAATTAAATGTACAAAAAGAATGTTTAGCAACAGCTAAAGTTCAACTAGAAAACGAAAAAGGGCAATGAAGGCCATTAATGGTGAAGGGTTACATCAATATAACGCATTGCACCCATTATGGGTGCTCATCGAGTTGATAGGTCCCATGAACTCAGTTTAGCTTGGTCAATCCAATTGGGCCAAGCTAATTCTTGGGAAAAGGAGCAACCGGAGACAACTGGGCCTTTTCTTGATGCATGGCTTGGTTCATAGGGTCTTTTTATTAAATGAATTATTTATTATTTATTTTGTTTTTCTTGATATCTCATTCAATAAGTTGATTCTTTTATCACTTTGAAGACTTTAACCATTTTACTCAGTAAATTTTATTTAATATTTCAATTTAATTTATTACCTTCTCCCTTTGAACATAGATATCTTGTACTCATTATATTTGATAAGAGAGAATATTCTGATATTTGTCATAGATATACAAAGAAGGCCATCCTTTATATTGAAACTTAATTTGTATAGGGTCACAAGAATTAAGTCCACGAGTCCTAATCACTTGGTCATAAAGTTATATTACTACTATGCCAATGACTACTTTAAACACAATAGCCAAAGCTATTAAACAAAAACCTATGTGGTTGGCATTTTACAGTGCTCTGAAGGATTTGTGCATACACGGATGCGGCGTCGAGTGGAGACCTTGATTCAGGTTAAACTCACATTTTTCTCTCAGCTAATCATCCACTTTGGTAATGTCCAATTTGACCTGTGGGACTGGTTCTCATTAGTTAAATTTTGTATTTCTTCACCCATGTTATACTCTGCTGACAAAATGCTTAATTTAGCAAAAAATGTAATGAAATTGTGTTGGTCTAGTGGTTATCAAAGAATTTTTCACCTGGATCTATTTGATTGCTAATAATGATTTATGATTAAAATTTAGGGTTAAAGACCATGTTTTCTCTCATAAATATTTTTTTTTTAGGAACGTTGGGCACCTCGTACTAAAAAGTGGAGTAATATTCTTCCTAAATAATTTTTTTTTCAGATGCAAAATTGTCCTTCCGTTGGAGATTCATTATCTCTCCATTATTTGCTGACATGAATTAGTTTGTATGGCCCACATGTAGTAATAACAAAGCATTTGACCCATTTGTGTTGCTAAAAGAAGCCCGGTTTCTGCCATTGTCACTTCCAGCCCCATTGGCCAATGTTAGGTGGTCAAAATAGGTTAGAATGCCTTACTATTACTGTGTATAGGCTCTACAATTATTTCATGTTAATAGATAATGGAGAAGATGATGGGTCTTTGATGGAAGGGAGATTTTGCTCTTAAAAGAAAATCGTTTAGGTTTAATACAAGATGCCTAGCGCTCTTTAAAAAAAGTTTTGCAAAAAAATGGTCTTTAATTCTAAAATTTATGCCCCATAGAAATCCCCAGAAGATGGATTGAAGTCATTGAAGAAAGTGCTTGGAAGGACTGAAGTTGTTTTCGGCATCAATCCATGGTTCGATAAACAAAGCCTTTTTGCTTGTCGGGTTCAAGACTGTTTTATCACCCTTCACTGTTCTTCATCTTTATTTATTATAACATGTAATAGAACCTGCATTGCTATTTTGTCGGCACTAGATTGTGAAAAACCAGATTTTGAACTCTTCTTTAACTTTCTTTAGTGTAACATGTAATAGAACCTGCATTCTTTTTTGTAGACACTGGATCGTGCAAAACCAGATTTTGAGGATTCCAAGATAACATCACAGACCCGATCCTTCAAACGTCTGGTATGTTAATTGTTCCTGACTGAGGCATTTCAAAGTTCACATCAATGGTTTTCAATTAGCATTGCATTGATCATTATATTCTGTTTTCAAAACACAATGTCGTATGGGATTGTAGAGCCTCAAGGATTCAAAGTCAAGCAACAACTCATTTTCAAAAGGTGAAGCTCGATGAGAAAGCAGCCGTATGATTATTTTAGGTCAAACAATGAGAATCCAAGGAATTGCTGGTACATTTTTTGAACTAGGGTCTCCAACGTGCCTTTCTGTAATTTTTTTTTCTGGTAATGTCCCAACATTGCAATTTCATTTTTCATTTTTCTTTGAATTATTGGCTTTTAATATAAAATAAAGTACATTTGATATTTTGAAGTTTCAAAATGATGAAATTTTGTATTTTTTACGTTTTTCAAAAATATGATATAATTATGATATTTTTCTTTAAAAAATCATAAATAATACAAAAATTTATCGTTTTGGGACTTTAAGATATCAAAATGTTTTTAATTTTATATAGAAGTCAATGATAAAAAAAAAAATTGGTAATTTGGAGCATTACAAAGAATATTGAAAAAACATACATTTGATGCCTCTAGTCCAGATTTTTGTGGGCTGCCAGATGCTTGTAACTAGATGCTATGCTTCCTAGTGGATTCATACATTGATATCTAGAATGTTTCAGATAATTGTAATTTATTCCTGTGAGTACGAGACAAGATAATTAACTAACTGAATTAGTCATTACCTCGTGCAATCTTGTCAGCATCCATGCAGTGTTACTTCGGTTGTAATTGTTGAAAGCACGCTGTGTATTTGCTAATGAGGTAACATTGGACCAAGTGTCTCCGGTTTTGTTGAGGTTGAGGGATAGATATTTTGTAGTTCTCAAGCAAATTCTATTGGCAACCAAACTTTTTTTTTTAAAAAAAAAATCAAAAGTCTCTTGCTCGTGTTATTTATCATGATCTCTGAAAAGTTCTGGACTGATATAGTAATAAAGGTATGTTGGAATTGGGGGAAGAAAAAGGTAAAGGAAGAAAAATTTGAACTAGATTTTCTTAAGCATTTATAGTTTGTTCTCACCAAAATATTAGCTTTATTCAAAAATATAAAATATTTTTAATTGAATTATGCTTTTAATAAATTTGTTAATTGTTAATGTCTTAACTAATATCATTTTTTTATGTTTGTTTTTATTTAATATGGTGTTTCACTAAAAAGATTTAGTGATTTATTTATTAAGAGTATTTAAAAAAAAATTCATTAATTATATATTAAAAAAAATAAAATGCTTTGTATTTTTAAGGGTAAGAGTCAAAAATGCATTCAAAGTTTTTTCAAATGAGTTCAACTCTTACATTTTAAAAGAGTAATAATGTTAAAAGTAGGGTACCAAAGAGATGAAAAGTTTGATGTGGCAACTCCTGTGGCAACTTGTAAGGGGGAAAAAAAAGAAAACAGAACAGGCGAGGAAGATTGCAAAAGAATTGCCGATGCTCAATCCCAGACATGATGCTCACCGAAAAATTGCAGAAGATTTGGCTCATCCAAGTTGGATTGGATGACTTTCGAGGAAGCTTGCTGAGAAATTGCTTTAGCATAGCGATGAATAGCTAAAATCTATACAAGCTCGTTTAGATTGAACCCACGAAGAATTAATCTAATCCTTGGGACAAAACTCTGCATGAGCAAGAAAAGGGGAAGAGAGCGACAGGATTAGAAACCCTAAATCTCACTCATGAAAGCAAGCAAAAACTGTTTACAATGTGGGATCCACATTAGAAAAGAAGAATGGGTTCAGGAGATTTTTAAGACCTTCCAAGGTGCGTTGATGAAAAAATCAAAGCTCTAAAGCCAATGGCTCCAACAATGAACCCTGAAACTTCAAATGCATCGTAACCAATAATGTCGCACTCTCTCTCTTTCATCATAACCCACAAATCTTGCTCTGCTTGCCGGCGATGCCAACGCCAATCAGTGCAACAAGGCAATGCTTGACGAAGGAGGCCACTCGTGCTTTGGACTTTCAAACTTTTAGAAACTTCATTGCCACATTGGATGATAGGTGGATCATTTTCAGGGGTTAAACAAATTTCCATCAGTCAACATAACTCAATCTTAGTCAAAGGGCGACATTGATCCACTTTTAATACTTCTTAAACAACATTGCCCATTCTAGAATGTAGGGATACTAAGTACTAATGTGAGAATACTTCCAGGATATTTTTACCTTTTAATACTAAGTACTAATTTTAATTCTATTTTTAGTCTCAGGAAAAAATACTTAATATTTTTTTAATGGAAGGAAATGTTTTCACATCAAAATGATGACTATAGTAACCTTTATCTTGATTATGACCATTCAGAACAATTTTACATATGAAATAAAACTAGAGAGATCTTGTACAAATAAAAAACTACAACGATCTATATCAAAACATTGATATAATTATAGGGATCATTAGTTATGCTTTCCAAAAACAACTCAAGCAAGTCAGAAGGAGCAACTGAAGGGCAAACTAAGGTGACAGAAATTGAACTAAAAGAATAATGAGAATTAATAATGGAAACAAGGAGCTAAAGCAGTAAGGAATTCAAGAAAGCCAGAAGTAAATCGTTTCAAACAATAAATTAATCTCTAATTTTCAAGTTGTTTGACATGGTTACAATAATATAACTTGACTATTTGAGCGCATATTAATTATTTAGTAGTTCTTTAATTATAGAAAATAATTATTGGTTAGTGCACATGAAATAAAGGTCAGACGTGTGCTTTTTTTTAGTCATAACAATGGCATAAATTAAAAGGAGGCGACTCAATGATATGATTTGTATCACCTTTATTTTTATAACCCAAAAATAATCACTATTAATAATAAACTTGTGAATTAGACGCTGGAATCCCAATGAAACAAGTAAAGCTTTCAAGCCTACAACCATTTTCCATAAATTAAAAAAAAATAAGAAGAGACTTTAATAAAAAGAATATAGCTCAGTTCAAATGAAATGAAATAACTCTTTAAAATAATTTCAGAGGACCCAAAATACCATACCTTAGTAAATGTTTCAAAACCAATAAAATAATAACTTAAATGCATACTTCTAAATCATGGCAATAAACATAGTGTAAATTAAGCATGCACGACACTTATAGGACAATTGAGTCATCATTCAATTCTTCAACACCTTCCCTTGTGACCTATCAAAACCCTCACCTAAAACTTTAAGCGATGGTAAATGAGAGCTAACATCTCAATAACAAATGAGAATTCCAAATATACCAACAAACTAATTCAAAATCTCATTTTGTAATATATATTTATATAAATAATATCTTTTATGAAACTAGTTCACAAATGAGTTCACAAAAAGAAATATTATTTTTACAAGTCAAAAGTATATAAAAAATAATCATACAATAGGTGATGTTATCCCTAACCCTCCCTTATACCTCTCATCCATCTTATCCTACTATCAGAAGTCTAGCTTGAGGATACGCTTGACCAAAAATGTGTTGCTTGTAGACTAAACTATTTTCCTTAGAAAGGTTATGTCCAATGTCCCACAGTCCCAAACTAAGGGAAAGGAGGCTTAATAAGAAATGCCAACCATGAGATCCTTGCTTATCATGTGGCTAAACTAACAATAAAATCTCCAACACATCCACTATAAAAATATCATCCTCAATACTCCTTAGAAATGCATCACATTCCAACAATTATAAACACACAAACATGCTTGAAAATTTTATATCTATTATTTAATTTTGAAAGCAACCAAGCATGTTTGATAGAGTTAAACTCTATAAGAAATTATTTCCACAATCCAATCTTCATTCAACACAAACTAGCATACTTAAAAGAAATAAAGTAATTATGTAATTTAAAATATAACATAAGCATGCTAGACAGTTTAAAATGTAGATTTTTAGTTTAAAATCAATCAAACAAGCCCTTAATACGCACGACATTCTCAAAACAATTTATATAATAATAATATAAAATAGCAGTTTTCTCAATATAAAAGATAAACCATTGGTTTTCGTTTTCAAGTTATAAACTACAAACATTCTGGAGTGTTTATAGAACTATCAACACAA